TGTTAAATTTTCAAAGGACAAAAAAGGTCATAAGTTAGAGACAAAGTCACCTGGAACACATTCTGATATCGTGACACCTCCTCAGTCGTTGAATTTGAGCGATTCTGTTCACGTTGATTTAGGCGATACGTCTTCGCCTGCGGTAATGGAGAAGACAATAGTGGACGAGATTAAAGAGGAGACACCGCACTGTTGGAGAACATTATATCATCTGTTACAATTGTACTCCACCATGCCGGAAACTAAAAAAGTTGATAGGAAAGCTACTGGACAACCGTTACCTGTGATTGAAGAAGAGCAGTCAGACAAGGCAAACATGAGTACACCTTCGGGAAGTGTGAAAACAAGGATTGATCTAGCTGCGGAGGAAGAAGCTGGTCTAGGTATGGTAGAAAAATAATTTTTTTAAAAACAAATTTAAATGTAATTGTGGCAGAATGATGTGGTCTGCAATTAAAATTCAGTATTAAAATGGCTGTGTAAGGAGGGATCTTATTTCATCTAAGTTCTTCTTTATGTCCATCAGCAATCTTCATAACTGATATTATACATTGCTCATTGACATAGGGGGATTTTGTCTTTTACATATACTTCTAATTTACATATGTATAGAGGATTTTGTCTTTTACAGCCACAGCTCATTGACATAGGGGGATTTTGTCTTTTACATACACAGCTCATTGACTTAGGGAAAATCTTTCTTAAGGTTGATTTTTTATGCCCCCGCCATGTAATGGCCGGGGCATATAGTGTTACCCTGTTCCGTCCTTCCGTCCTTCCGTCATTCCGTCCTTCCGTCATTCCGTCCTTCCGTCATTCCGTCCTTCCGTCATTCCGTCATTCTGTCATTCCGTCATCATCAGTTTCCGTTCATTATCTTAGTAACGGTTGCACACATTCAACTCAAATTTGACATATGGATATGTCATGAGAAAATACAGGTCAAGTTCGAATTTGGTCATGGTTCGATGATTTTTGGCAGAGTTTTGCCCCTTTTACTTTAAAATAATATGAAATTTTCAGTTTCCGTTCATTTTCTCCCCAACGATACAACACATTCAACTCAAACTTGACATATGGATATGTCATGAGAAAATACAGGTCAAGTTCAAATTTGGTCATGGTTCGATGATTTTTGGCAGAGTTATGCCCCTTTTACTTTGAAAATAATATGAAATTTTCAGTTTCCGTTCATTATCTCCCCAAAGGTACAACACATTCAACTCAAATTTGACATATGGATATGTCTTGAGAAAATACAGGTCAAGTTCGAATTTGGTCATGGTTCGATGATTTTTGGCAGAGTTATGCCCCTTTCACTTTGAAAATAATATGAAATTTTCAGTTTCCATTCATTATCTCCCCAATGGTACAACACATTCAACTCAAACTTGACATATGGATACATCAAAGGAATGGGCAGGTCAAGTTCAAATATGGTCGTGGTTCAATGATTTTTGGCAGAGTTATGCCCCTTTCTCTTTGAAAATAATATGAAATTTTCAGTTTCTGTTTATTATCTCCCCAACAGTACAACACATTCAACTCAAATTAGACATATGGATATGTTTTTGGAATGCCCAGGCCAAGTTAGAATTTGGTCATGGTTCAATGATTTTTGGCAGAGTAATGCCCCTTTTACTTTGAAAATAATATGAAATTTACAGTTTCTGTTCATTATCTACCCAACAGTGTTACACATTCAACTCAAATTTGACATATGGATATGTCAAAGGAATGGGCAGGTCAAGTTGGAATTTGGTCATGGTTTGATGATTTTTTGGCAGAGTTATGTCCCTTTCACTTTGAAAATAATATAGATACATCTTAGGAATAAGCAGTTTAAGTTTGAATTTGGTCGTGGTTCAATGATTTTGGACAAACTTATCTTTCTTGAATGTTGGAAAAATTTTGAACTTTCAGTTTCAGCACTCATACTTTTGTGGAAATGTATGTAGCCATTATTTTGGCTACAAATATGAAATATGCTATTTTCAAAAGGTTAAGACTGAATAATTTCAGTGTTTTGAACATTGTATGAAAATGGTTTGTGTTAACATTGAAAAGTTTTAAGGGCTTTGAACTGCAAATAAAAAAAATAATTTGTGCAAACAAATTTGGAACTAAATATTATAACATCTGAAATTTTGGCTGCATGCGGGGGCATCCGTGGCATGATGACACATTTCTAGTTTACAAATAAATTGATGCTGAGTGTGTTTTCATTCTAGGAACAGGAACAAGTAGCAGTGGAGAATATGAAAACACACCATTAGCCAGGTCTACATTTAGTAGAACAAGGTTCAAACAAAGTAAGTTTATATTTCATACATTCATATTAAATGTCAACTATATAATTATGCTTGTTGTATAGATTAATTATGAAGAGGGAAGTTTGTTGTCATTTGTATAACCATTGGCTACCTTGTAGGGTTATATTTATCTTAGTCAAGCTATATGCCCTGTAATAATAATGCTAATAAATTTCCAAATATTCTGGGGCCGTATTCACAACTGATCTTAAGTTAATTTTTTGACTTAAATATAAGATTTTTCTTATATTTTGAGAAATTATCTTAGATTTAAGATAAGAATCCGCAATTTACTTAAGCGGTATTCACAACTGTTTTTTATCTTAAGTTTTGTCTTAAGATGGACAATTTTTGTCTTAAATATAAGTCAGCTACTACCCTATCTTAAAGTTAAGAAATTTCTTAACTTGGCAGTAAATCATCTTAAAAATGGCGGACGGTAAATCGTCGATTCGATTGAAAACTTGCGTTTTTAACTGGTATTAGATATTTCATGGAGGTAATCAACGCCAATAATTACAGCAATAATGATTTCGTTCAAAGAAATTTATACACACGATAAATGTGAGTAAAACAAGGGAGTTAAATCGGCAAAAACTGAAGACGCAAAGGAGACGCTCATTTCACAAACTGGAGAATGATCATCAGTTTCTTGCTGGTAAGTACTTGTAAAGAAAATATTTGTGCACAGAAAAATGTAAAATGTAGGTTTGTGTGTTGTTCTTAGAGAAAAACATAACCGCTAAACGCTTACGAGTGTTTATTTGGAATGTCACTGGTTTTCGCGAGAATCACTTATGACTATCACTGAAAATTGCGGATAAGCTACAACTTGCAATGCTTAGCGGATAATTTTAATTGAATAATTTACATATGCAAATTGATAATGTTCCGTATTACCGATGTGTTTATTGAAAACCTGACACATGCTGAATCACAGGGGGCCCACACAGTGTTTGGATGGTATATACTGCTTGATAGTGACCTTAAAATGAGATTTTAGTCATAACCTTATAATATGTATATAAATATAGACAAGGGGCATTACTCGCTAAATAGAGAATTTTCGATCACCCTCAAATTCATGCGAGATTTTCCACTAATTAAATAAAAAAATTCCAAAAACTATACTGCGTTGCATAGCTTATATAATCCACAATTGATAAACACTAACTCTATTTTGATTCCCTTAGCCCATTTTAAGAAATTTATTCAAAACCGTTCACTTCTGTCACAAAATTGCTTAGTCGTACGAGATGTCGCAACACCAAATTCCAGGGGTAAAATATCAATTTTAAAATGGGGAGGTACAAATAAACGCATGCAAACAATAACACAACATAGTTTCTATTACCTACCTGCGCAAATAGTCGTGAAGCGCTCTAAATTAGTCTGTTTCAAACGAAATCTTCAAATCGGTGCAGAAATCTGCTTCGGCGAACACATGTTGGAAATTCTGGTCATGGTGTATGGAAACCTTTCATTGGTTGTCGTTATAAACAAAGTTCCTACCGAACAAATGAAAGGTCTCGATACACCGGCTGGTCACGTGACCGGGGTTTCCCCAAGATGTCTACGTCGAAGCAGATTTCTGCTCCGATTTGAAGATTTCGTTCGAAACAGACGAATATAGAGCGCTTCACGACTATTTGCGCAGGTAGGTAATAGAAACTATGTTGTGTTATTGTTTGCATGCGTTTATTTGTACCTCCCCCTTTTAAAATTGATATTTTACCCGTGGAATTTGGTGTTGCGACATCTCGTACGACTAAGCAATTTTGTGACAGAAGTGAACGGTTTTTAATAAATTTCTTAAAATGGGCTAAGGGAATCAGAATAGAGTTAGTGTTTATCAATTGTGGATTATATAAGCTATGCAACGCAGTATAATTTTTGGAATTTTTTTATTTAATTAGTGGAAAATCTCGCATGAATTTGAGGGTGATCGAAAATTCTCTATTTAGCGAGTAATGCCCCTTGTCTATATTTATATACATATTATAAGGTTATGACTAAAATCTCATTTTAAGGTCACTATCAAGCAGTATATACCATCCAAACACTGTGTGGGCCCCCTGTGTGCTGAATTGATAATGATTTGCCCCACTGATGATTCGCCCAAGAACGTTTCGCCCCACTTTATTGATGGTTCACTTCAGATTAGAGACGATTCGTCCTTCTTTAGAATAATCCTTTTAAACGTCCTTAAGGTTATCAAAATAAATAAATGAAAAGATGAAATGTTTCTTTTGGTAACCGTTTATTTGTGAAATAAATTGTTCTATGTATTTAGCAAGTGGGTTACCATACGCGCCCGTACTGGGTGCCAGAAGTTCTAGCTGTATGTGAGTTACATATATCTAGCCTATAGATCTACACACTGTTGTGGCTAGCCGTACAGTAGTTTTTTCAATAATAATAGATAAATGCAATGATGAAGTCAGTAA